GAAGAAACAGGGCATTAGGAGACAGTTAGGATAACTTGAAGAAGAGAAAACCTGCAAAGTCCAAACCGAAATTGCTAGGTGTCCTGTTACTTGAACCTGTTACCTTAAGTGGGCTGGTTAGAGAATTTTTGGCTGGAAAGCTATTTTTCTTTCGGTTGAACTTCCGCCGACTGAAAACGGATATCATCGCGACCATGACAGACACCATGAGCGACCTAAATAAAATTTTATATAAATACCGAAAAATCTTCGTTGTACTCAATATTGTAAACTTTCTTAAGATGGATTTTAGATACTGAGTTTAACATTATGGAAGAACCGCATGGAAAGATGACCAAATAGGAAGCAAATATACTTTTTTTGCTTTCTTCTTGGCTAAACAGTCGAGCTCCAAAGCTAGGAACTGAAATTTGATCCGAACTTTGGCAGAATTGCAGCATATTTATCTAGTCCAGGTTTATTAATTATGATTGTACTAAATGCCAGAATAACTCCTTCAATTAAAGAAGGAAGTTATCTTCTAAATTATGTGACTTTTTTTTTTTTTTTTTCATTTTTAGAGAATATATTTGTTACCAGTAATGCATGAAGCGCCTACATTCTATAGAATATCTAGAAATTGTACAGAATGCCTGACATTTTTGGATAAAGTATGAAATTTGAGAATTATTTTATACCTTCCCTAGATATTGTATATAACGCATAGGCATTATATAGAATGACAAATACTGTTTACTAAGCAAAGTTACGTAGAACTGTCATGATAAGGCTATTATTTAATAGGTATGCGTTCCTCAAAAATAGAAATATTCTTCGAAAAGAATAATGAAAGAGTGCTATTAAAAAACTTTTATTCAAAATACGTAAAGAAAAATGAAAGTTCTATAAAGAAAAATTTATTATTAAAGAAAGAAAAATAAAACACATATAACATAAATAAAGAAAACAATTTATTATTAAGGAAATGTATAAATTATGTAATGAATGTATTAAATGTATGGATTATGTATGACTGTATTAAATGTACGGATATTCGATTCGAACCGAATCGGAGATGTAATTTATACGTTGGCGCTTTGTCATTTGGCGTTCCGTAGAGTGCCTATGAAATGTTAATCGTTTAATACACTGCTGGCCAGTTTTCGGCATCCTATAAAGTGCCTAGGTATTCTGTAGAATGTGGGCTTCCTTACATTGCTGGTAACATATTAATTTACATCCTTATTGCCTCATCTTGCATACGCAAAGCCCAGAGGCGTGTAATGATTAAACTCAAAAAATTTTGGGAATAAAACTGTGTAATTACCAAGCTCAGAACCAAAGCTTAAAGAAAAGAAAAAGACTCACATATTTTGCATGACGCATCCCTCAAAGTAGCGATAGTTTATTACTCTCAAAGTAGCACATCTCTCAGAGCGAATATTTTTCTTGGGCTATATTCAAGTCAGAATGAGATTAAATTTCAAAAGTTCAATTCTGTTACAATATTAGGTCATTGTAACTCTTTGGCAAAACGACCAACTTTGACAACTAGCCCATTTGTCAAACAGCCGAATTTCTTAATTTTGTTGGCTAAAAATTGCTAATAATTTTTATGAATATCTTTTATTACCTAAAAACAACTAAAATGAAAAATAAATATATCTTGCCGTAGTAATTTGTATCTCTCTTCAAACATCTGTACAGTGAATTCTGCTGAATGACGTAATATTGTTTTTATTACTGTTTTTAAAGCATCATTCTGTATATTGGCTACCAATTTTTTCTGAACTTTTTTTGACTAAAGATATAATTTCTGCTTTTCGAAATTTCACTCTCAAGTTATATTATTAAATTCTCTTTATTTTGTTGCCTTATTTTATTTTATTTTTTACCTATTTTTATTTATTTATTGTTTTTTAATAATTTTTACTCATTTGCAGTGCTATTGTACATTTGTTTATTTTGTTACTGCTATAACTTATTTTTGTAAGCCTCGTGGTACAGTTTGTGGAATAGAACGAGTTAAAAGTAAAGTTAACACACACGCACATACACCCCCAAAAAATACTTTTTAGTCCAAAGACGCTTTGTCCCTGAAGGACTATTGTTTTCGTTTTGCGTTTAATCACTATAAATGGCGAATCACTTTTCAAACTGTTGCCACCAAACTATATTTGAATTACAAAAAAAATTACAGTTACAAATTTTCAAACTATATTTGAAGAAAATAAATAATGAAAAATCTGCATAAATATATGTATATTTCTCGCATTGTGATAAAAGAACGGTACATAGAGCCGTTGAATTTTGAATGACGTAATCCTCCTATGAATATGGGCATGTGGAAGACCAAATTTGAAATTTGGAATTTGTTTTATTATCGATTTCATATTTTGTAAAACTTCAACGAATTTTTGAGTAATAAACTCCACGATTTAAAAGCGAACAATGGCAACACTCTGCGGGTGGAAAAATATCTTTTTATCTCCAGCGCGCGGAACTGTGTATCGGAAATTCTAAAGATAGGCTCATTTTAAAATTATTTTGCGACATTGCTATTGAACTGAGTTTTATGGTTTAAGTGTAAAAAACATGATATATAATAAATAAAGGTAACACACAAAACGTTAAAAAACGCCCCTTAGGACGTAATTTAAAATCTAAAACCTTTCAGTTTTGTTTAATACATTTGATCATGGATGGAATTAAACATTGTTTAGATAATGCACTGTGTACATTATACAGAATTTTGTTTACATTGTTAGACGAAAAGTTTGCGTATGGGGGCATTTTCGTAGCTTTTGTCCTTGTGTAACGTTGTAGAGCGATTGGGCATTTAATTTGGAGCTGGATACATGAAAAGTTAGGGCTACCCTCGACAGGATTCGATTCGAATATCAGACCTTGTGAACGTAGGACATAATTCCTTAACCTTCACATTTTAGTCGGATTCTACAGTACAGCGATTTTTGAATTTTTGGAGAGAGAAACATGAGATAATCAGTGACACCCTGGCCAGGATTCGAACTCCTGACCTTCGGATTACTATCCGGGCGTACATCTAATTACACCACGAAGACACACAATAAGAAAGAAAAACAATTATTATGCTCTCGCCACTTCAAAAGCGACTGAAAAGGATTGGGACCTAGTGGCCAAATCCAGATGCTGACTAACTATAGTCTCCCACATTTTAGTTCAGACGCCTCTTGTTTGGTTTCGTCTTTTTTTCGGAATCAAGAAAAGTGAAAAACTTTGGTACGCTTTCCAGAATTTAAATTCCGAACCTTCCTATTGCTAGCGGGGTATGCTGTCATTTACACTGTGAAAGGCACACATTGAGACAGGGCAAAATTCCCTGTAATATGAATACGAGATATTTCCCTTGGAAAAGCCTCCCCGAAGGCATCCTTTCTCTTAGGTAAATAACTTTTGTGTGCTTTGCCCTAATCAAATAATCCATTTCTCCTGACCGAAGAATTTTTTTATCCACTTTTTTATGAAAGCTGTGTGTTTGAAAACCAGAGCTGTCGATCTGCGGTTATATACTATTTTATATTCCCTTTTTCCTACATCATTCTGATAATAGTTATACTTGCTTCTTCTCTTTTTAGCCCAAAGAGGCAATTTGCCCAGAAGGACTATTAATTTGATTTTGGCATTTTGCGTTGATCCACTATAAACGGCAAATCACTTTTTAAATTGTTGCCACCGCCATATTAGAGTCCTGTATTATATTTAAAGAAAATAAATAATGAATAATCTGCATAAATCTATGTATGTTTTTTGCATTTTGATTAAAAAAAAAAGGTACTTAGAGCCATCAAATTTTGAATAATATACGTCTCCCCAAATATGGGCATCTGGAAGCCCAAATTTGGAGTTTGTTTTATCATCTAGTTCCTATTACGTAAAGCATTTATGAGTTTCTGTTTAAGAAACTCAACGATTTCAAAGCGAGTAGTGGCAACACTGTACGAAAAAAAGCAAAACATTTTTATCTCCAGCGTACGAGACTCTGTATCAGGAATTCTAAAGAAGATTCTTCGTGAAAGTTTTCTCTTATAAATATTTTGTGATATTGCTGTTGAATTGAGTTTTATGGTTTAAGTGCGAAGAACATGATATTTAATAAATAAAGATAACACGCAAACCGTTAAAAAAACGCCCCTTTGGGCGTAATATGAAACCTGAAAGCTTTCAGATTTCTTTTATTGTTTTTTGTTTAATGTCTGGAAGAATTTGAATGTTTATAATTTAAGAAGTAAACATTTGTTTAAAAAAAAGTGTTCTGCGGCAGATCCCGCCAGCAGCCAAGCAGTATAGCCGCTGAACACTGGTAGTTCAACTTGGGTTACAACTCTGGAGAATGAGCTGCCTTCGTGGAAGTTTTCGCGGTTTCTTGCATGCGTAACGTGGATACGAACCCAACTAACGTTTTCTACTTAAGTTCCTGATAACGGAAGCATAGTAGCATTCAGCGGGGTTTGAGACCTCATCGAACCTATAATTTATATCTTAAATCTTAATTGTTGAAGCCGAAGAATTTCATTCATTATTAATATTTTAACTACCAGTTTTTCCTCAGAGATTCCTGCTCGATCACTCCTCGCCGCACCTTCTCCAGTGCCTTGATAAACACAAAAGAACTTCAACACAAAATACCATCCTCATTCTCTTATCGCAGAAGTTTGGCGCCAGTTTAAGAAAGCGGCTCTGCTGAAATGTGAGTGGGCCCACTAATTCTGTGTTATCACCTATTATCACAGCGTGCATTCAATATGCTGCAAAGGTGGTTCACTTTTTTTCGGGGGAGGGGGTAAAGGAACAGTAAAATGTAAATAACAAAAAGTAATTAGAAAATTTTCTGCTGCATGTAGGTTTCTATGCGCCACCACCCACAGTGAAACACGCAACGAACATTCGCTTTTTTGTTTTTGTTGCTGTTATTTGTTTGCTTTTTTTATGCTAATTTTTTTTCTTTTGCAGCAGCTGTTTTATTTGGTTTGCTTTTACAGGTCCACCCCCATTGATTACGCCTCCACCACCCGGTCCAGGGTCTTTAGGTGCTGAAAGTAAGTCGAGAGAAGGCGGTGGAACGTTATTTTATTTACATTATACCATTATTATAATTTATTTATTATTTGTTTGCTTTTATTTGAAACGCTTTTTATGTTAATCGTTATGTTAATTATTTTTTAAAGATTAAAACTGTAGCCACTAATTTTATTTAGAATTAATTCATAGTTAACAGTAACATAATGAAGGGAGAAAATTATTCGAATTTTGTAGTGTTAGAAAAGGCGGTAAAGTAAAATAATTTTGCCCATTTTACTTTGTCTGTTAAACATTTTCCATCTAATTATTTTTTCAGAAGTTTGTTGATTTTATTTTATTTTTTGAATTATTTTTTATGACGGGAAATAAAGAATAAGAAAGTGCATAGCAGAACTTAAGACTTATTTAGCTTGTTTTGGTTTATTGTTTACCATGCTTTGACTAATTAAACCTTTTCGTATTATCAAATGAATTGAAGTTTATATGAATGGAAATTAGTGAAGTACATTTCTTTGCTAATATAAATTTTCGCGGAAGCTAGTTTAGAATGTACAAGTTCCGTTGTTTATCTACTAATATAGCTGATATTATAGCAATCGAGGTTAAGAAAAATTTTCCAAATGTAAGTATACATATTTATATAACATGACTGACTCGCATACAAATGACTTCATAGTCAAACCTGTGTTTAACGAGCACTGCAGTTTAAGAATTCCGCTATTCAGCGAAGTTTTTCAGGAAATTCTGTCAGAGATGAGAATTTCTTTGTATCAAAAACTCCAAATAACTAAGTTTACTCTCTATTTAACGAAGTTTTTGAACGGATAATATTTAGAAATTTTTTTCCTGGTTTAAAATTATTTTTTCATATGCTGTGACATGTACGTGCCTGCAGCTGTGATTCTGTGTGTGTAAAGAAAATCAGGTGGTTCATTATCTGCTTCACATTCCATTCTACATGCAGGATGAAGTGGGGTGAGGGAGATTCTCGAATGAGAAGGCCTGTTGTTAAGAATTCACATATCAGTCCGGTTTCACCAACTAGTTAAGCACAGTTGCACAGTTGCACGTTATTTTTATTCCTGATGTTCGTGGTTTTATACTGCAAATCTTTTTTAAGTTATTTGTGTATTAAATGATAAAAAGGTTGAAATAGAAGTCTCTAACACTTAATGAAAAAGTACGTATTCTTGACGACGTGGATAAAGGTGTAAAGAAGAAAGACATTATCATAAAATTCGGTATTTTGCAAAATAATTTCCTGATAATCCTGAAAAATCGTTTTGTCAAGATTTTCGATTCCACCAATCCAAATGCCAAAGGTAAAAAAGGCGTGCGTTCGTGACGGCGTTAAAGCTGCGGTGTTTGCCAAAGCTTTAGGGTTTGGGAAAAATTTAATATGATTGAATGTGATATTCAATCATATTCGATGGATGCTCTATTTTTAGATGCAATCTTAAAATGTATGCACTATTTTTAGATGCAAAATTAAGCTCATCTGGAAAGGTGCTCTCTTTAAATGAGGAGAACATAAGGAATATATAATTCCTTACATTTTTTTTTAAATCTAAAGGGTAACTAAATATAGGTACCGCAGCCAATCGACCAAATCCCTACGGCAACGAACTGTATTCGCAAGAACTGTTAAAAACTGCGACCATCAACAAAATACATGCTTAGTAACGTCGTAGAAGGGATCGGCGAACACTGAAAAAGAACGGGCTTTCGCTCACGCTTGCAGACGCAATGGGTAGTCGTGCTACGAAGTCATCCAGTGAGTCAACGGGAGTCTCATAAATGAAGTCATTCAGATTCCTCCATAAAAAGAAATCCACGCTGGATAAATCTGTCGAACGGGCTGGCCACCGGAATAGTACACCATGCCCAAGCCATCGCCCGGCAAAATTCGCGTCCTAGTAATTCCGAATGACAAGGTCGTAATGGGATAGCTCACCAATTATGCTGGAACCACATGGGATCACGAATGACAGCCGGAACATCCTGAAGCAATTCCGGTAAAACCTCTTCAGATAAATACGATAACTTGGGCCATTGAAACGTGCAGATAGGGAGTATGGGTCAGTGAGATACTCATTAACTATACCCATCCACACATTCACAGATAAGCGGATTTGGAATGCAATGCAGACATGTGATGTTCCGCATTATCAGTTGCCCACACGTTACTGTTATATATATTGAAGACGCTTTCTTGGGTGAAAGTTGCCTCGTCCTTGAATAGCATATCTGTTGGAAATCCGCCTGCATCGCACACTGCTGCAAGAATGAACAACAGAAGTCAACGCGCAGAGCGCAATCTCTCGCTTGTAAAATTACGATTCTCTGCAAATGGTATGGGTCCAAACACTTTTCATGCAATACTCTCCAAACGATGGGCTGGCTCACTTGCACACTACGTGCAGTAGCTCTTGTACACGTGTTGGGTGTTTCATCCACAGTGTTCAAGATGGATTCTTCTATGCGAGGTTGTACAATTCTTGTTCCACTCCTACTGTATGCTTCGGCATACACCTGTTCGGAAACCGTTCTTGGTACAACCATAACGCTGCTCTTCGTTCCAATTCATAGCGCCTACGTTAGAATCATGTCAGCATTTTCAATTGTGAGTAAACTCTTGCATTAAAAAATGATACGGGAAAACACATTTTTCTTCCCGTATCATTTTTCATGTTCGTGCCTTAACTTCTTTAGACTCTATATTCCTACACAAAAAATACAAGTTTTAGTACGCCTAACCACCAATCTTTGCAATTTGGGGTACAAATTTATGCCTTGGCAGAACACCAAAATATTTGCCACATCATTTCAAAGCTAAAACAAATATTTGATCAATCTGGCTTTATATGGAATTTACAAGTTGCTTGCTTCTGTAGAAATCTGACTAAATTCTGATGACGAGCAGGATGTAGTCATCCTTTTTCGTGATTGTCTTCCTTTTAGCTTGCTTGAAAATAGTTCATCAGTAAGCATTAGTAGCAAGCAGGGGTAATCGGAGAGATGATGGATGAATATGATGAAGATTTTGATAAAACTTCAAAATATTCATCCATCACCATACGCACACTGCAGTTAGTGTGTCAATTACTTCCAAAAGAGATATGAATGTAAAATGACAGTGATGAAGAATCTAGTGATTTGAGATGATGCTCAGATTTTTGGGGAGTTGATGGCTTCTGTTCGTTTGTTTAGTCCTTTACTAAGAATAATTACCTTCCGTATTTTATTAAATGTGTGCATTAAAACCTAAGGTGTACATAGTAATTATAAGTTATTAAGTAGCATTAAATTTTAATTTTTTTACGATTACAAATTTCTATAATGTGGTAATTATATGTATCGAGGATATCAACTACTTTCCATTAAACTTATAATCAAGGACCAGATTTTGATGACATATGCAATTTGCGATTTAGGGCATTTTTGGTCATATAAAAACTTATATACTGACATCACAAGATCTTTCATTTTCGAAAATATAAAGCATTTAATAAGTCAATGCAATAGTAATACATTAGTGTTCGGTTGAAAATTCGGAAGAAAAAATTAAATTCAAGTGACATGTATGTGTAATTGTTTGCGTTTTAATCTATTTGTCAGTTGTGCAATTTTGTGTCATTTTTTTAAGACTTTTAATTTTTAAGGGCATTTTTTCCATTTTAAGTGCATTTTCTGGACATTTTTAAGGGCATTTTCAGTGAATCTCTAGGTCATCAAAATCTAAGCTCTGCTTATAATGCTTTAAAAATGCTAAGAACTCTATGATTATAGTCTACTTAATTCTAATTTAAGTTACAATATATTACGAAGGAAGTAGTTGTAAGTATTAAGTAGGTCATTAAGTCATAAAAAGTAGGTCACAAATTAGTATGATATATATGAAAACAGCAGTGAATACTTTCCATGTTTGTTAATAGGTAGCAGAACCTTTCTAGTTCATGATATTCATTTTGTTAGTTATTAAGTACCAGTTGTAATGCGTAGTTCAGCTTTCAAAAGCCGATGACACTTGATGACTGCACACGAGAAGAGCAGCATTCTGTATCCAACTTTTTTGGGGGGAGCAAGGAGAATTCATGCGAAAGATATTCATAGAGAAATATTTCCTGTTTATGAAAAGAAGTGTTTGTCATGTAAAGCCGCGCACAAGCGGTCGAGAAATTATTTCAAGGCTGATCCAAATTCTGCAATGAAAAATGGTCATTCTGTTTATAGACAGACTGAACAGTAGAGAGATAACTCAGCAGAGGGAGAAATAATTGATTCGAGAAATGTACTGGGCACTAGTGGTGTCAAACTTGAGGCCTTCAAAGCAATTATATGAGGCCCGCGAAGACGTTTCGCTTTTGTATCTTTAGTAAATACCATATTTCAAAGATCTGAAGATTTTAATTATTGAGGGCAGAATTTGCATTTCTATTAACAACAAACATGAATAATATAGTAGAAATCTATAAATGGAAGTAATTAATTTAAAATATGATATAGATTTTATTCAAAGATTTGAAAATATAGATTTCATCAACTTTCATTTGATTTATCAAAAAATAAATAAGCGCAGTTTCAAAATTTTTTAAATAAGAACAATCGCTTCGTTTGGGAATACATTGATGCATGAATAGCACATTTTATCATAGCTGAAAATTAATAAGAAAAGAATCCGATTGACCGATGAGCATGTAAATAGTGTGACGAAAATAATTTTTAGTAATTTCTCTCCAAGGCTGAAAACTTTATCAGAATCGAATCGCCGTCAAGTGTCAGTCTATAGTTAGAAATAAAGACATTTAGTATTATTTACGTACAAACATGTATCTTCATGTACGGAAAAAAAATTTAATCAATAAGAGAAAAGTTTTTCTTATATATTTTTAAGTCTTATCCCACTCAGTAAATTTTCTCTGAAAACTTTGAAAGTTTTCATAATTTGTTTAATTTTTGTTTAAATTAAAATTATTTAATGATTAATTAAACACGTTACGATTTTTTGAAAGAAATG